GGCTGCGGCTGTCTTTTGATTGTGCTGGTCAGTTTCCAAAGTTTCTGCATTTGATACCGGTCTTTGTTGTCAATCCCTGTGAACAGTTTGTTGATGTTTTTGTTTTTCAGGATTGTGAGCCCCTTGTTAAGACGATTTTGCGCCGCCCTGTAGTTTCGTCTGGCTTCGATGGTGCGGGTCGCCAGCCAGATCCTCTTGCACTGCTGTTTGATGGAAAGCAGCTCGCTTGTAGCCTCGTCCAGCTTAAGGTGATGGTGCCGGTGATGTTGCTGTGACCGCTGCTGATGTTGATGCTGACGCTGCTGTGGCCATCTTCGATGTGTGCTTGGGTGCTGCTGTTGATGTTGTGTTGATGCTGCTGCTGCTGCTACCCGTATATTGTTCAAAAACAAGTCAACGACGTCATCAATGTCCTGCGCTATTCTAATCTCGGTGTTGAGATTGATCAACCGTTCCAGCGACTTTTGGAACAGGCTGATATTGGCACGTGCTGGGAGCAGATGTTTCCTGACTGTGGGCGTAGGATGTCTACGTCCACCGCTGCCGATCGTCAACTCCACCCTGAGCAGCAAGTGATCAGAGTCCAAATCCGAGCTTGAACGGATACTCAGGTGAGTGTCGTGGATTCCTTTGTAGATTCCAAAGTCAATCGCTGATGGTCTCTTTTTTTTGTCGTAGGGATAGTGTGTGGCACCACCGGTGGCCAGCAAATTGCAGCCGTTGTTGGTGTGTACAGCCTCCATCAGTGCTTTCCCTCTGGCGCATCCACGGACATTTCCCCACCACATATGCTTCGCGTTCCAGTCACCGCATACAAGGAAGCCGGATGCTGTTTCTTCGACGCAGAGTTCTTCAAAATGTCTTATCAATCCAGTAAAATGGGCAGGCGCCCACTTGAATACAGGCGGACAGTAGATCGGCGCAAAAATAATTCCCTTTTTATTTTCCTTTTCAGTGAAGACGATGACAGGTGCACTCTGGATGAATGGCTTTGAAATTGGCTGCAGTGCAGAGTGGGTGACATCGTCCCGGAACAGGATGGCTACTCCCCCTCTGCGATCGTTTGCCGGATTTTGTGCAGTGTAAGTGTGGAATCCGCTCACAGAGACGGCCCTTGTGCGTGTTTCGATGACCATCATTAATTGTATTTTTTCCCTTTTCAGGAAAACTTCGACCTCGTTCAACTTGTTTGTCACACCACACGCGTTCCAGAAGGCAATTTTAAAAGAGTTGCCGTTCTGGCTGACGCTGTGGGTGGAAATAGTCTGTACTGGATTGACTTTTTGGTTTGACAGGCTATTCGGGACTGGACTAAACATAGAAGGCATCATTGGCGGAGGACAGGACCATGTCCAAAGAGTTTGGTGAACTGCTATTTGTTGTTTTGCTTGTTTTATTTGTATTGATATTTATTAATTTGACTATTGCAGAAAATAGACTATAGATTTTGGCCTCAAGTCTTGAGAGAAATTCTGCATTTTTTATACCCGATACTCAAAATGAGTATTGGGGTATATTAGATTTGTGGTAAAAGTGGATGTGTGTAACGTCCAGAAGGAATCGTTTCCGACCCTATAAAGTATATATATTCTTGATCAGCATCAATAGCCGAGTCGATTGAACCCTGTCTGTCTGTCCGTCCGTCCGTCTGTCCGTCCCCTTCAGCGCCTAATGCTCAAAGACTATAAGAGCTAGAGCAACGATGTTTTGGATCCAGACTTCTGTGATATGTCACTGCTCCAAAAATATTTCAAAACTTTGCACCGCCCACTTCCGCCCCCACAAAGGGCGAAAATCTGTGGCATCCACAATTTCGACGATACGAGAAAACGCAGAATCGTAGAAGATGACTAAATCTTCTAGAGTGCAAAATCTGAACCAGATCGTATAATTATTACAGCCAGAATCACGAAAACAATTTCACTCTTTCTCGCTCTGTCTCACTCTAACACACAGGTTTCATGGTCGGTTTTGCCAATTGCAAAATATGAGTTCAAGGATCTCAGAACCTATAAAAGCCAGAGCAACCAAATTTGGTATCCACACTCCTGTGATATCGGACCTTGACCGTTTCCTGTCCAAATTTCGCCACACCCCCTTCCGCCCCCGCAAAGGACGAAAATCTGAGGCAACCACAAATCTCAGAGACTATTAAGGCTATAGTAACCAAATTTGGTGCACACACTCCTTTAAGATGTCACTATAAAACGTATATCTCAGAATTTCGCCCCACCTCCATCCGCCCCCACAAAGGACGAAAATCTGTTGCATCCACAATATTGCAGATTTGAGAAAACTAAAAACGCAGAATCATAGATAATGACCATATCTATTAGATTGCTGAATCTGGATCAGATCAGACCATTTTTTTAGCCAAAAGGAACAAATCAATTTGCAGTGGCTACGCAGCGCCCGACGTCACGCTCAGACTGATTTTCTGTCTCTCTCGCACGCACTCTTTGTCGTGTCGTTAAATATTAGCGGCGTCTGCCGGAGGAGAGCCATACTGACTTAGTATCGGGTATAACCTTAGAGTTGCGGTGTCCGCAGCAACTCACAACGTTCCCCCTCGTTATGGTTTATATTTATACATGGCCATACTAAAAAATGATTAATAATTGCAAATCTTTAACATATCCTTATGTACTTTCTGAGTTTTGTTTTTATTATCGGAGATTATGACGTTATCTCTTTCTCCGATACTTTCTACTCTATATGGTCCTATATATTTAAAATCTAGCTTATGTCCTGTTTCATTTTTCAATAAAACTTTATCTCCTACAGCTAAAATTAAATCTTTTAACTTTAAGTCATATAGCTGTTTATTTTTAATTATATGCTCCTCGAGCATAATCCTTGCACGTTTATATGCTATTTCTAATCTATATTTACTCTCTTTAGAGTAATCATCTATGTTATATAGAGGTGCTATTCTATCTATAGTATTAAATTGATCTGGTAAGTTTGAAGTCTTTCCGAAAACTAGCTCATATGGACAATAATCATGTGCCATAGAGGGGGTTGTATTAAAACAATATACGAAGTATTGCAGCCATACATCCCAGTCTGCTTTGTCAGCTGAGATGTATGAGCGTATGAACTCGTTAAATGTTCTGTGGCTTCGCTCCACGGTTCCTACAGTCTGGTGATGATGTGCAGTAGAAGTTATGTTTTTGATGTTTAGATTTTTACATAAGTCTTCAATTATTGAATTTTTATATTCTGTTCCCATGTCCGTAATGAACGTCTTCATTGGACCGTACTTTAGAATAAAATTTTCAAAAATAGCTTTAGCTACTGTATTTGCACTTTTGTTTCTAATGGGTATGGCAACAAGGTATTTTGTCAGGTCACATATTAAGGTGACTGCATATTCATTTCCTTGTTCTGATTTAGGAAGTGGACGGATCGTATCCACTATTACCCTATCAAAAGCCATGTATGGTGTTTCTGTAATAGTCAATACGGTCCAATGAAGACGTTCATTACGGACATGGGAACAGAATATAAAAATTCAATAATTGAAGACTTATGTAAAAATCTAAACATCAAAAACATAACTTCTACTGCACATCATCACCAGACTGTAGGAACCGAGGAGCGAAGCCACAGAACATTTAACGAGTTCATACGCTCATACATCTCAGCTGACAAAGCAGACTGGGATGTATGGCTGCAATACTTCGTATATTGTTTTAATACAACCCCCTCTATGGCACATGATTATTGTCCATATGAGCTAGTTTTCGGAAAGACTTCAAACTTACCAGATCAATTTAATACTATAGATAGAATAGCACCTCTATATAACATAGATGATTACTCTAAAGAGAGTAAATATAGATTAGAAATAGCATATAAACGAGCAAGGATTATGCTCGAGGAGCATAAAATTAAAAATAAACAGCTATATGACTTAAAGTTAAAAGATTTAAATTTAGCTGTAGGAGATAAAGTTTTATTGAAAAATGAAACAGGACATAAGCTAGATTTTAAATATATAGGACCATATAGAGTAGAAAGTATCGGAGAAAGAGATAACGTCATAATCTCCGATAATAAAAACAAAACTCAGAAAGTACATAAGGATATGTTAAAGATTTGCAATTATTAATCATTTTTTAGTATGGCCATGCATAAATATAAACCATAAAAATATACTATTCTGCATTTATATTCAAATAACTTTTAAATTTTATCAATATTAATTAAAGCTCAATACTCTAATAATTGACTAAAAAGAAAAAAAAAATATATATATATATAAATTGTCTTTTTAAGAATACATAACTCGTATACATATATAGTAAAAGCTAAAAATAAAATAACTTCATTAGATTACGTTATTTTTCAAAAGGAGGGAGATGTAGTATGCTCATATTAAAGTAAAGTAAAGTATTCATTATTTCGAATACCCACTGTACCTACGGTACTTAAAGAATACACACTGTAACACTTTGTTTCAGTGTTTACGTAACAATAAAGTCCCAGACATTCTGGGTGATCGTATTACGATTCACTCAAGAATGCCTCGAGCGACCCAAGTGCAGCGTCAGCATGTTCCCATGACTTGACGGCACTAATATACATGCATACACACATATATCTTCCCTCGCGCTCTCGCTGCCAACAGCGCTGAGCATATTCACACATATACATACTAACATGTAAGAGATAAGAACACATAGTTCTTCCGCTCCGCTGCCGGCGTCACTGGCAGCGCAGCTCCGCGGCTTTTGGCTTACAAAAGCCCAAAACACAATTGTAAAATTGAGAACATAAAACACAATAAAACAGATCGGAGGGTTGAGCCCCAACGATCCAACAAAAGGATTGAACATCGTTTTACAGCTCAAGCCAATCCGGCCGAAAATCATTTGGCCAAGTTCCAACAGAAGTTGAGGGATGAGCAGCAGCAGCACCACCACCAGCAGCAACAAGAACAGCAAAAAACTCTCCCCGCAAATTTCCAGTCCCATGCCCATAAAGAAAATGCAGAATTTCTCTCAAGACTTGAGGCCAAAATCGATAGTCTATTTTCTGCAATAGTCAAATTAATAAATATCAATACAAATAAAACAAGCAAAACAACAAATAGCAGTTCACCAAACTCTTTGGACATGGTCCTGTCCTCCGCCAATGATGCCTTCTATGTTTAGTCCAGTCCCGAATAGCCTGTCAAACCAAAAAGTCAATCCAGTACAGACTATTTCCACCCACAACTCTTTTAAAATTGCCTTCTGGAACGCGTGTGGTGTGACAAACAAGTTGAACGAGGTCGAAGTTTTCCTGAAAAGGGAAAAAATACAATTAATGATGGTCATCGAAACACGCACAAGGGCCGTCTCTGTGAGCGGATTCCACACTTACACTGCACAAAATCCGGCAAACGATCGCAGAGGGGGAGTAGCCATCCTGTTCCGGGACGATGTCACCCACTCTGCACTGCAGCCAATTTCAAAGCCATTCATCCAGAGTGCACCTGTCATCGTCTTCACTGAAAAGGAAAATAAAAAGGGAATTATTTTTGCGCCGATCTACTGTCCGCCTGTATTCAAGTGGGCACCTGCCCATTTTACTGGATTGATAAGACATTTTGAAGAACTCTGCGTCGAAGAAACAGCATCCGGCTTCCTTGTATGCGGTGACTGGAACGCGAAGCATATGTGGTGGGGAAATGTCCGTGGATGCGCCAGAGGGAAAGCACTGATGGAGGCTGTACACACCAACAACGGCTGCAATTTGCTGGCCACCGGTGGTGCCACACACTATCCCTACGACAAAAAAAAGAGACCATCAGCGATTGACTTTGGAATCTACAAAGGAATCCACGACACTCACCTGAGTATCCGTTCAAGCTCGGATTTGGACTCTGATCACTTGCTGCTCAGGGTGGAGTTGACGATCGGCAGCGGTGGACGTAGACATCCTACGCCCACAGTCAGGAAACATCTGCTCCCAGCACGTGCCAATATCAGCCTGTTCCAAAAGTCGCTGGAACGGTTGATCAATCTCAACACCGAGATTAGAATAGCGCAGGACATTGATGACGTCGTTGACTTGTTTTTGAACAATATACGGGTAGCAGCAGCAGCAGCATCAACACAACATCAACAGCAGCACCCAAGCACACATCGAAGATGGCCACAGCAGCGTCAGCATCAACATCAGCAGCGGTCACAGCAACATCACCGGCACCATCACCTTAAGCTGGACGAGGCTACAAGCGAGCTGCTTTCCATCAAACAGCAGTGCAAGAGGATCTGGCTGGCGACCCGCACCATCGAAGCCAGACGAAACTACAGGGCGGCGCAAAATCGTCTTAACAAGGGGCTCACAATCCTGAAAAACAAAAACATCAACAAACTGTTCACAGGGATTGACAACAAAGACCGGTATCAAATGCAGAAACTTTGGAAACTGACCAGCACAATCAAAAGACAGCCGCAGCCAAACTGGCCACAGAGGCTGCCAACTATGACCGGAGGCAAGGCAAGTGTCTCGTGGACAAAGTCAACAGCCGAGACAGCCGATGCCTTTGCTACTCACCTGGAGGAGAGATTCAGCCCGATACTGTCCAATTCAGATGAAGAGCGGGCCGCAATCAACAGAGAGCGTGAGCAGTCAAAACGGCAGAAGCAGCTACAACCGGACCAGGAAACCAGGATTCCCTTCAGACCAGTCACACTGCCTGAGCTGATGCAGATTGTGGATGCATTGGAGCTGTCCAAATCACCTGGGGGAGACAAAATCAATAACAAACTGATTAAAAATTTGCCAAAAAAAGCGCTATTATATTTAATATTAATATATAACTCCATTTTCAGACTGGGCCACTTTCCAAGTCAGTGGAAACATGCCCAGATTAAAATGATTTTAAAGCCGGGCAAAAACACAGCAGACATGAATTCCTACCGGCCAATCAGTCTATTATCTGGCCTTTCGAAGATCTTTGAAAAATTGCTGATGGCGAGACTGTTTGAGGTGGAGAATTTTGCCAAGGCCGTACCCAATTACCAATTTGGATTTCGGCGGGAGCATGGCACTGAGCAGCAGCTGGCTCGAGTCACTCAATATATCCTCAAGGCGTATGAGAAAAAACAAGTTTGCTCGGCAATTTTTCTGGACATTTCCGAAGCTTTTGACCGAGTATGGCATGAAGGGCTGCTGTACAAGTTGATGAAGCTGCTGCCTTTAAATTTGTACTGCATTCTGGAGAGCTACCTGGCTGAACGCACTTTTCGTGTGAGCTGCGGAGACGAGGAACTTTCAAGAATCGGGAAAATATCAGCTGGAGTCCCACAGGGCAGTGTTCTTGGACCAATATTATACACAATCTATGCCTCAGACATGCCAATGCCTCACCTCATCCCGGACAGCACTGGCTTCCATCCAGAACGGGAATCAATGCTGCTGTCCACGTATGCCGACGACACGGTGATAATGAGCGCATCTGCAATCCCAAATGCGGCAGTCAAATATAACCAAAGATACCTGACTCACTTCTCTATATGGGCCAAGAAGTGGTGCATTAACATAAATGCGAAAAAAACCGGACATGTAATATTCACACTGAGGACAATTAGATCAACGGACTTAAGGCAAACGCCGACTATAAATGGACAGGCTGTGCCACTTGACAAATCACACACATATCTGGGCATAAAATTGGACAAAGAACTCACCCTAAGCTCACACATCACGAGGATCTGCACAAAACTCCGATCAAGAGCGGCCAAACTGGACTGGCTTGCTGGCCCAAAAAGCCGGCTGCCAAGCGAAACCAAGGCTATAGTCATCAAGCAGCTCATCATGCCCATTTGGCAATATGGTCTTCCGGTTTGGGGCGCACTTACATCCGATTCCCAGCTGCGACGGGTGCAAAGCCTACAAAATAAAATCATTAGACGGGCAATGAAGGCGACAAGGTTCACCAGGAACGATGCGATAAGACAGACTCACAATCTAGACACAATCGACGAAGTGTTCCATGCCAACTCCTTGGCTTGCCACGATATCTGCAACAGCTGCTTCAACACTTCCGCCCGCTGCAACCTCGAAATCAGGATCGGAGCAGCCATCAACAACAACATCCAGATCCGGCCATCTCCGAGGAATCGCTTCCAACGCTGGTCCGTATCGAAGAGGAGGAGCTGAAAAGAAAGAGACAGGAGGAATCAGACGCCAGGCAATTAAGAAGAATCCAACAACAAAATATCATCAATCCGAACCCCGAAAGGTTCAACGAATTGATGATAAATTGCTTCAGAAAACGATACCTCAGCGGCCAAACTCCCCGAGAAAGAATAGTGGCTCTTATCTTTGGGCAGCCACTTTCTGTCCAAAGGATAATCCTGCCAGATTACGAGGGGGATCCCGATCCAGCGACGCAGCAGCATACCCAGCAGCAGACTCAGCAGCAGACGCAGCAGCAGACTCAGCAGCAGATGCAGCAGCAGACGCAGCAGCGGACCCAGCAGCAGACACAGCAAATTCTGGCGAGCAGCAACCGGCAGACGTCACATCATCGTTGCCAGACACGGGCTGCAAGCAGCAGCTCACGCACCCTGGACGACAGCCATCGACGCAATCCGCAAGAGGCACTTCTGGACCACGGACTGGAGCAAGTCCGACGGCGCCTTGAACGGGTGGTCGACGACGACGACGACGACGTCCAAATCATCTCAGATGACGACGACGACGACGTCCAAATCATCACCGATGTCCAATCCATCTCAGATGACGATGACCACAACAACGACGATGATGCCGGCCGGCACATTGCGCACACCGCCACAGTCACTCCGCACTTTGGTGCAGCAAGGCGCCGCTCACTGGGATGCCGCAATCCGGCCGCAGCTAGTCCAATACTCTTGTGTTGGTCTTTGTCGGTATTCCTGGTGAGTGTAAAAATGGTTTTAATTTGCACACCTTCATTCCATCCACAGAGAACCAAAAATACTCACCTGAAGCGCGTGAAAACACGCTTGCGACACCGGGCGACACCCCTAGTTGCTCCTCTGATCCTTTCTCATGGGCGTCACCACGGCATCCGGCCTCCAGAAGGGCTCCGCGGACGAGAGTCATCACGGCTGCTGGTTGGCCATGAATGCCAATTTGGACACGCTTGCGCTACACACATGGCGCATCCGAATCCACGCAGGGGTGGTTTTCCTGCACTTCATGGCTGCTGGCAACCATCGCCACACAAATTTGGCCGAATCCCGGGCCACCTGGAGGACCACGGCGATCGCTCCATCCACTCTGCACGGCGCTGTGCATTGTCCACGTCTCCTGCCGCACCTTACACACGCGCTCACCCAGCGCCGTACGGTTGCGCACCGTGCCAAACACTCTGCTCCAGACGACGACGATGATCCAGTACCTGCAAATAGAAATAAAATATAATTAAATTAGATTAAAATGTAAACAATTGTTCAAATATTGTCAATACTTATCTGTTTGTGACCACCTGCTGATTTATGTACGTTAATCCTGTGATTGACACATAAGGGCTGCCAGACCATTAGTTTCATGTTTTAATGTTAATGTTAATGTAATGTCAATGTAATGTTAATGTTAATGTTAACAGCCCGCCAATTTTAAAATCACATTATTGTTGTTAGTTAAGCTTAAATGTAAATTGCCGAAGTTATGGTAATAGGAAAAGCTGGAAATAAACTCCGCCAGTAGCAAAGCTGGCGGGCGAGTGTGCGCATCGTAGGCGTGCACGCGCATCTAATTACATCGAAAAAAAAAGTGACTTGTGTTTTTTGTTGTTTTATGTGGAACTTTAAATGTTTTTAAATACATGTTTAAACCGGGAAAATGAACTAAATAAACAATATGTGCCAAATAATTGCAAATAATGCAATATAATCATCTGTGATCGCGCTGTAATAGTGAAGCCAATAAACCCAACTGGAGGAAAGAGGAAGGAAAAGCAAGCTACTGAGTACCTGGACCAGGCCACCAAATGGACGCACTTGCTCCAAAACAGACGACCAACAAAATGGATGTTATGGATGCTATGGACAACTCGGCAAGAGCCGAAGCGGGTGGTGAGTGCGTTACTCAAAATAGTGCTACCTACATATCGACCAGGCCCCTGGGAGGGAACCCCTCCGCAAATGCTTCCCTCTTCGAACCAATGTTCGACTCAGAGGGGTATGCGGATCTGGCTGAGTTGGAGACGGACTCGCCAGAGAGTACTGTGAGCTCCTTGGGAGCTACGGTGCTGGAGTTCGAGCGTCGTTTCGTGGACAGGGGTTTATATGTTAGAAAATACCCGCCAATCCCACCAAAAACAGACGCCAACATACAAGAAAAACCGCCATCAAATACACATACAAACACGCAGACAAAAATAGCTCCCAGCGAAAGTGCAACGGGTTCCAAAAATAGCGGCGCTTTCGCACTAACAAAAGAGCATTTAAGTGCACATAAACAAAACAAGAACAAATGTTATGCCCATATGTTTTCGCGCCAAAACATTAGCGAAAACAAAAACAAGCAAACAACTCACACAAGCATCAGAGAGAGCGACGCTTGCGCTCTCTCAGCGTCCGAACCCTTGGCGCACAATCAAAACGGAGGCGCGTCACATCAAGCCCCAAAGCGTTTGCCGCCAAACTTGCACTCACACACTTATGACAAAAAGAGAGATGCTTGCTCTCTCCCGCCGAACCATAAACCCCTGACCTACGCCAATAACAAAACAAAAACAAACACATTGACATATGCCGAAACCATAAACGGCATACAGAAAAACAATGACCAGCAACAGCAACAACGTTTGACGACAGCTGAAAGCAATAATACTAGCAGAAGCAGAAAATGCTTGCTGCCTACTCTGACTCAGGCGGACGAGCATAATACTCAGACAAGGCCTAGTACCAGAACACAGCTGGTAAAGGAATGGCTTAATAGCGTTCCCCCGCTACTGGCCAATGAAATGCCCTCGCCCCTGCCCCTTACCCCTATAGCAAAGGATATCCTGACAACAAATTCGTTTCGCTCGCCGCTCAAAAGAAGATGCGCGGCGATCGAAACGGATTCAGATGACGACCACTTTGCCTGCCTGGCACTTGACACGCCCATGTTCAAGAGTCAGTTTGCGAAAAGATTGCATCACGAGACTCGGCAGATGGAGTCAGATGTTGGCCAAATATGCTCACCGCTAAATAGTGAGGTTCCGGTTCCACCAAGTGAGGTTCAACATAGGGAGCCACAAAGTAAGGGGTCTGAAAGTCAACAGATGGAGACGGAAAACCATCAGCCTCAACACCAGCCAGACATCAATATAAATATAACGCCCGTCCAACCGTCATTACGCAGCACCAAGGTCCCTACAATCTTCCTGTCAATAAATTGACAATAAATCCGAACGTGGGGAAATTCACGACGAAATCGATGGCCAACAGTGGACTCAGAGTCCAGTGCGACGTCATGACAACATACAACGCCATACAGAACGCCCTTGCTGAAGATAGCACTCAACTGCACACACACCAGCCGCGCAGTGAAAGGGGCTACCGTGTAATAGTGCGGCATTTACACCACACTACGCCCAGCAGCTGGATAACGGAGGAGCTGGAACGACTCGGATACACTGCCCGGTTTATCCGAGGATTAAAACACCGTTTTAATGGAAGGCCTCTAAACATTTTTATACCCGATACTCAAAATGAGTATTGGGGTATATTAGATTTGTGGTAAAAGTGGATGTGTGTAACGTCCAGAAGGAATCGTTTCCGACCCTATAAAGTATATATATTCTTGATCAGCATCAATAGCCGAGTCGATTGAGCCCTGTCTGTCTGTCCGTCCGTCCGTCTGTCCGTCTGTCCGTCCCCTTCAGCGCCTAATGCTCAAAGACTATAAGAGCTAGAGCAACGATGTTTTGGATCCAGACTTCTGTGATATGTCACTGCTCCAAAAATATTTCAAAACTTTGCCCCGCCCACTTCCGCAGCCACAAAGGGCGAAAATCTGTGGCATCCACAATTTCGACGATACGAGAAAACTAAAAACGCAGAATCGTAGAAGATGACTATATCTTCTAGAGTGCAAAATCTGAACCAGATCGTATAATTATTACAGCCAGAATCACGAAAACAATTTCACTCTTTCTCGCTCTGTCTCACTCTAACACACAGGTTTCATGGTCGGTTTTGCCAATTGCAAAATATGAGTTCAAGGATCTCAGAACCTATAAAAGCCAGAGCAACCAAATTTGGTATCCACACTCCTGTGATATCGGACCTTGACCGTTTCCTGTCCAAATTTCGCCACACCCCCTTCCGCCCCCGCAAAGGACGAAAATCTGAGGCAACCACAAATCTCAGAGACTATTAAGGCTATAGTAACCAAATTTGGTGCACACACTCCTTTAAGATGTCACTATAAAACGTATATCTCAGAATTTCGCCCCACCTCCATCCGCCCCCACAAAGGACGAAAATCTGTTGCATCCACAATATTGCAGATTTGAGAAAACTAAAAACGCAGAATCATAGATAATGACCATATCTATTAGATTGCTGAATCTGGATCAGATCAGACCATTTTTTTAGCCAAAAGGAACAAATCAATTTGCAGTGGCTACGCAGCGCCCGACGTCACGCTCAGACTGATTTTCTGTCTCTCTCGCACGCACTCTTTGTCGTGTCGTTAAATATTAGCGGCGTCTGCCGGAGGAGAGCCATACTGACTTAGTATCGGGTATAACCTTAGAGTTGCGGTGTCCGCAGCAACTCACAACGTTCCCCCTCGTTGAGGTTGAAATTCAGCCCAAGGCGGATGGCGGCCATGAGGCAATACTTGACGTTAAACAACTGGCCAACCAGTGCGTCTCGATAGTGAGACAAGCCAAGCCACGCGATCCAGCCCAATGCCATCGGTGCCAGGAGTTTGGGCATACTAAAAATTATTGCAGACGGCCATTCAAGTGCATGAAATGCGCAGGAGATCACACCACAACAGCATGCAGGAAACCCAGGCAGGAGGATCCTAAATGCGCCAATTGTAGCGGCAAGCACGTGAGCTGCTACAAGGGATGTGCCGCCTACAAAAAGGCTCGTAGCCATCTAAGGGCAAACCGGCTCATCGGTGAGCAGCAGTATCAACAGCAACGCCAGCAGCCACAGCAGCAAACCGAGAAGCAACGCCCACAACAGAAACACAACAAACATCAGCGTACGCAGCAGCAGCAGCATCAGCAGCAGTCACAGCAGACGCAACGACAGGGCCGCCAACAACAACAACAGCAGCTAGCAACAATCAGCGGCAGCGGTAGGCCGTCG